TCTTTTCTATCATTTGTCACTCTCAAGCTAGCATTGCAGATTTTGGGGTTTGGGGCTTGAATCTCTGCCTGGAATGTAAACCCTCTGAGTGCAGGGCCTGTGCTCCACTGGCCTTTGCATTCCCAGTGCCTAGCATAGTACCTTGCATATAGTAGATGCTCAATGAATATCCTTTGAATGAATATTAGATGATGCCTTTGAGGTATGACAAAATTTTGAAGAACATATTTAATATTTTTAAAAATTGCTCTCACATTTGCATAGTTTTGTCTTTTCAATTGCTTTTCTAAACACTGTTAATGTCATAAATAAATAATTTACTATTTGTTTATTATTGTTTATCATCAGTTTGCTTATTTTCAGTTGTTACTATTTATTTATTAATTTATTGATGCATAAACCATATCTAGGGCATCATAGCAGGCAACATCTCCTCACAGAACATCACATTCTGTATTACCAGGACAACCCCTGGGCTGGAAGGGACAGACATTTTTATTACCACTTTGCAGAAAAACTATAAATTGAAGTCTGAAAGATGAAGCAACTTCTCAAAGTACACAGTTAATTTTTCAGAGGTTGGACTACAAAGCAAGTCTCTCTGTGCTCATGTTAAATGTTAATAAAATATTGATCTTATGGTATTCTATTTCTTTGAAAACTGACGATCTCTTGAAATGATTTATAAAAAATTTCAACCAGAAACCTGACAATATGAACACCCCTTTCTAAGCCATGGCAGATAAGAAAGTACGACCTTACATTCTAATGATATGACACCAATCAGCATGCAAAGAATCACACATGAAACAAAAGCAGGGCCACTGAAAATTTCAAATTGTAAAATTACAAGGGAAAGAAGGGCACCAAGTGTGATCGGGAACTCTTTTTAGAAAGTTTCTTTTCCCAGGATTTAGCATTTCCCAGACAGAAGTTAGCAAATGAACTAAGTGAATTAACATTGATCATTTTATGTAGTTTCTTTAAATACTCTTGGCTCTTTGTACCTAGCAGTTTCATTATACTTTGAAAAATAAAATCCTTTTAGGAACTGGCCACACCTCATACGTTAATTGTGTAATGAGAGATAATTTCTCTTTCACTTCCTTCTTCCCTTGGTTATCAATTCATTACACGTAATTAAGGTACATACACACGTTACTACACAGTTGAGTACCCTTTGATATAGTTCTGTAAACTTTGAGGTCTACCTTAATTTGAGAGAAATCTTATGGCTAAATTGAGAAAAAGGAGGGGGATGGGAGTTAGCAGTTTTGAACTCCTTAAGGGTGAAGGAAAGAACAAAGCAGCATTTATTACAATTTGGTACTTAACATTGTCTACATTTTACCCCTCTGACAGAATTTTAAGGAATAAATAGTAAATACTCAGTGTAGCCAGCTCTGCACTACATCTTTATTTACCTTCATATCCAACACGAACTATTCCCCTGAACATAGAAATGATTGCCTGTAAGGCCCACATATGACAATAGTTTGCTCTCACTTAAAATTGCTTTGAATTCAGTACTTCAGAGTAACTTGCGATGAATTTTACATTTATGTCTCATTGAATGTAATGAGCCAGAAGTATGAGTTTGATGAGGATGACTTGTTCATGGATGTCATGAGGTAAACAACTCAAAGCATAAAAATTGTATTTTTCAGAAAGATCTGGGGAGACACCGGTGGGACAGAAGAAAACTGCAAATGGTGTGCCTGGCTAGTGACCCTCTTTCCTGTTCCATCTCAAATGTGCTGAAGCACAGCTGGGGCCAAGGCAGGGGCCCCAAACCTGGTGTGTGAGTGGGTAGAGAGGGAATGCTGGAGGGGGTGAGCCAAGAACTTGACACTTCAAAGCTCTGAACGTCTTAGGTTGGCCTCCATTAGGGATCTCAATATTGGGGTGGCATAAAGATCAGAGTGAAGTTTTGGAAATGCAGACTTTATATATTTGGTTTTCTTGTTTCAAGATTTTGATTTATTCATAAAAAGGTTATAATGTGATCCGCAAAAACACAAACCACATTCATGACTTAGAAACACTTAGAAAACTTAACAGTCCCTTTAAACAGCGGAGACTCCTTATCCTCTACTGTGGAAGATATAAAGTTTTCTCAAGAAATGCTCCGGGAAGTCATAAGGGCACGATCACAGGTTCCTCTCAAAGGAAGCAACAAACTAACTCAGATAAGACCTTAGACAGTGGTGAAGCGGAGCTTTGTTGTTATTTTTGTGTTATGTAGATGCTCCTTCTTGATAAAATATGTGGTCTCAGTTTTAGTGAGTTACATGTTCATGCCTTGAGTTTCTCTTGTTTCTTTTAAGGGAATAAATCATTCAAGTTTTTTCATTATCTTGCACACTATTGCTGTGAAATGGTAGCCTTTGGCTTCAGGTGGACACATGCTAATGGCGGATTGATCCATCTGTATTGATACCCATAATAGTTTTATTTTGGTATTCTCTTTCATCTAAGATTTCAAAGGACTCTGTAAATATTTCAGTTAAATTTTGTAGCAAACCTCTTAAAAAGAGAAGTAGGAAAAAGTCTAAGCCTTCTTAGGTGTCAGCTCCTTGAGGGCATAATTTTCATTATCAGAGTAACTCCAGCTCACTAGACATAGTAATATCTTCAACATTCAATAAATATTTACCATCAACTTTAAAGGTAAAATGTCCAAGTGTTCTTCCTATTCCATCTTTAATTATCCCACGCCCTTAAACTAATAAAAACTTCCATTTTCATGGTTCCTTTATATTATTTACCTCTATGCCCCTAAGAAAATAGAAATCTAATAAACTAATGAAACCTACAAGCTTAATAATACACTGCTATTGCCAAAGATATCTATATTTTGAAAGAGAGGCTATGTCTTAATTTACTTAGAATAAATGATCCAGGTACTCCGGATGGACTTCATCTGTGACATATTTAAGTACTCAGTTAATTGTAAATCTTATGACAGTGGTAGTAATAGAAAGCTGATTTATGTAAATATTCTTCTAATTTGGGGAATTTGTGTAATGTGGCAGATTCATTGGGGGAATGCATTTGGTGGCCAGGAGTGTCTTCTGGTTAGGGTTATAAACCACACCATATTATCCAGAAGAGATGGAAAGATGATTGACTTTAAGTGAATTCAAGTCTACAGGCAGTAGTAGACAGTCTATTGCTGTCCTTGTCCTAGATATAAACTAATCAAGCAACTCACATGAGAGCTAGTACAAGGAAAAATTCATCAAAATAAGTTATGTGTTCATGTGCTTGAAGTCATCATGAATTAAAACTGATTCATGTTAGTAGATCATGTAGAAGCTATAATCAAATAATATTTTAGTGGGATTAAGGTCCTATAGTACTCGATCATTTGCCACAAATTTCCTTCTGTAAAACGAGTATTACAATAGCACCAAACCATACTGCTATTGTGAAAGTTAAATGAGTGAGTTGATGAATAGATCTGATGCGGTGATGAGATGGTCTCCCACATCCAAAGCTGGGATATATGGCTGGACAAAGGAAGTTTTTCTGCCTCCATCTCTCTCTCCCTCTCTCTCTCTCTCTCTCTCTCTCTCTCTCTCTCTCTCTCTCTCTCTCTCTCTCTCCCTCTCTCTCTCTCTCTCTCTCTCTCTCTCTCTCTCTCTCTCTCTCTCTGTGGTTTGTACCCTGCACTTAGCATTCTGAGGCATTTTCATGGTTAAGGGAAAGGAATACTGGACATTTGAAATGGATTTATGGATGCTATGCTATGTTCACTGTTCATGTGCTTCCAATAGAATGTTCATTTTCCAGTGACTATGTTACTATATGGCCCCATCTTAATTAAAATAAAAACATGTAAGAACTGCATCAGAAAGGTTTAAAATACTAGCACAAGAAAATAAGAAAGATCAGAAGACCAGGAAAATACAGTGTTTGTGTCTGGTTTCTGTTTTTGGTTTGTTTTTAGGTAATGAGCAACTTTTGATTGTTTATTACCTGATTATCTTGAATTATAAATTACCAAGACGCTCCCCTGCCTCTATCTTGCTGTCTGCTTTTGAGCCATCTTACCAATAACCTAGGCTGCCAACATATGAGGTAGCCAGAGAAACTGGAAGGAGCTAAAATGAATAATTTTTTTCTTTGCTTATGAGTATGGTTCAAAGTTGGAATGGATTAGGGTGAAATTTTGGTGAAAGTCAAATTTAAGGATTATTTTTATTTATTCATGCTACTGTTCTGTTCTGTTACTATAATTACTTAATTAAAAGTTCATTGAACATAGTTTAGTGGCTCAAATAAGATCTAAACACTAGACCTAAATTTTTACAGATTAGAAACTTTCATGATTTGGCTCATTTCTCATTTTCAGGTTAAGTGCATCACTTATATTCTCTGTACTAGTTTTCTACTCTATAAAATGAGGAAAATAATATCAACTTCATCTTTTAATGGAATATTATATATTAAAAGAGTTTGTGAAAGGCACTGATGATATATCAAACCACAAGAACAAATGATTATTCATTATGATGCTGCAATTTTTATTACAAATGCAGTGTGGGTAACTGCTGTGCTGACTTCAGTTGAGTTCAAATGTATATTCCTCCCAGGCATTGTAAGTAAGGGCTTTGTGCTGTGGTGTAAATACTTAATAGTTTACTTGCCTAGCATATGATCTCTAGTTTAGGAATTACAATGTGATTCTTCTTACTTTCTCATCACAGTTGCCTGAATACAAAGCACCCAAATACTATGTTATGTTGATGATCCAAGAAAAAATTTGAAAGACTCAGAAGCATGGTTCCTGACTTACTGACAGTTATTAAAATCAAACCCTTTCTTTATCATCAAGGGTTCCACATATAAATGTGTTACAGCTGTCCATAAACCTATAAAATAGCCTACTGGCCTCTGCAATATGGAACAAGAGACAATCAGTAAGGCAAAAGTACAACAGTAAGCTCACATGACATCAGCATGCTTAATAGATTTTAAATGAGAAGACTTCTTACCTAGCATGCAAACACATTTGACATTCTGATCAGGGTTTTCAAACAAGATTTCGCCACACCTCTGAAATAGAAAGAAAGCCATCATTATTTTAAGATTTCCTATCAGGGTTCCCAAAGCAACATGTCCATGCAACCTGACATCACCATGACATTATTCTGATCTTCCTGTTTTCTTTAGCTGCCTGAGTCTAGGGACTTATGTCATGAGCAGAGACTTTCCTCATAGTAAAATATTTGAGAGGTAAATTGGGGACAGACTGTTCCTGCATGCCTCATGCCCCTGCCTCAAGCTGATCTGTGTGCTCCTATGAGGGGTCATGGCCAGAGACACACCCAGTGTCCAACACTTTCTATTTCGATGGAAGATACACAGTCTATTAGGTCTAGTAATCTGAGGTTAATCACTCTCAAAATTGGCTCTTATTCAGTACTGAAATTATCCTAAGCTACCTACTCTGCAATCAAGCAGACATTTTCAAGTACAAACCTAGGTGGCCTTAACTCTCTGAACTTGGGAACTCTGAACTCCCTGCACAAATAAGGAAATGATGAAAAAGTGGCATTCATAATCCTTTTCCAGAAGCATTGACTCATGGAAATATCAACTCTCTTATCTACATCCCAGTTTTAACTTGCTTCTTAACATTTCTGTACAGGGCAAACTCCAGAGACACAATCAGTTATTTAAGAATAGACCACATTTATGTATATGATTGACAAATGGTTAGTACCTGAATGTATAAATAAATCCTCCAAATCAATAAGAAAATAACAAATAATCCAATGGAAAAGTGGATAAAGGACATAAACAATTCATGGAAGAGGAAATCTGAATGGTCACTAACAGAGAGGATATATTCAACCATACTAATAATCAGGAACCAGCAAATAAAAGATAAAATGAAGCCTATTTTGAGCCCACTGATTTGACAAAACTTAGAAATCTGGCAAAAACAAGTTTATCAAAAATGTAAAGAAATGGATCTTCTCACACACTGTGGGTTGCAGTATAAAATGATGGAACCATTTTGGAGAAAAACTGGCAAAATTTTACTAGATTTATACTTATTACTTACTAGATTTCATTCTTACTAAGTTGAAATGTGCATACGCTATGACATAGCAGGTCATCTTCTAGACTGATAACTAGAGAAACTTTACTGTTCAGCTACAAAACAGATAAATGTTATTCATACACTGGAGTGCTACATGGCAGTTAAAAGTGAAAATGGGAGGAACACTCCCAAACTCATTCTATGAGGCCACCATCATGCTGATACCAAGACAGAGATGTCACAAAAAAAGGAAACTACAGACCAATATCACTGATGAACATAAATGCAAAAATCCTCAACAAAATACTAGCAAACAGAATCCAACAGCACATTAAAAGGATCATACACCATGATCAAGTGGGGTTTACCCCAGGAATGCAAGGATTCTTCAACACATGCAAATCCATCAACGTGATACACCATATTAACAAACTGAAGGAGAAAAACCATATGATCATCTCAATAGATGCAGAGAAAGCCTTTGACAAAATTCAACACCCATTTATGATAAAAACCCTCCAGAAAGTAGGTGTAGAGGGAACTTTCCTCAATATAATAAAGGCCGTATATGACAAGCCCACAGCCAACATCATCCTCAATGGCGAAAAACTGAAAGCATTTCCACTAAGGTCAGGAACAAGACAAGGTTGCCCACTCTCACCACTCTTATTCAACATAGTTTTGGAAGTTTTAGCCACAGCAATCAGAGAAGAAAAGGAAATAAAAGGAATCCAAATCGGAAAAGAAGAAGTAAAGCTGTCACTGTTTGCAGATGACATGATACTATACATAGAGAATCCTAAAGATGCTACCAGAAAACTACTAGAGCTAATCAATGAATTTGGTAAAGTAGCAGGATACAAAATTAATGCACAGAAATCTCTGGCATTCCTATACACTAATGATGAAAAATCTGAAAGTGAAATCAAGAAAACACTCCCATTTACCATTGCAACAAAAAGAATAAAATATCTAGGAATAAACCTACCTAAGGAGACAAAAGACCTGTATGCAGAAAATTATAAGACACTGATGAAAGAAATTAAAGATGATACAAACAGATGGAGAGATATACCATGTTCTTGGATTGGAAGAATCAACATTGTGAAAATGACTCTACTACCCAAAGCAATCTATAGATTCAATGCAATCCCTATCAAACTACCACTGGCATTTTTCACAGAACTAGAACAAAAAATTTCACAATTTGTATGGAAACACAAAAGACCCCGAATAGCCAAAGCAATCTTGAGAACAAAAAATGGAGCTGGAGGAATCAGGCTCCCTGACTTCAGACTATACTACAAAGCTACAGTAATCAAGACAGTATGGTACTGGCACAAAAACAGAAAGATAGATCAATGGAACAGGATAGAAAGCCCAGAGATAAACCCACGCACATATGGTCACCTTATCTTTGATAAAGGAGGCAGGAATGTACAGTGGAGAAAGGACAGCCTCTTCAATAAGTGGTGCTGGGAAAACTGGACAGGTACATGTAAAAGTATGAGATTAGATCACTCCCTAACACCATACACAAAAATAAGCTCAAAATGGATTAAAGACCTAAATGTAAGGCCAGAAACTATCAAACTCTTAGAGGAAAACATAGGCAGAACACTCTATGACATAAATCACAGCAAGATCCTTTTTGACCCACCTCCTAGAGAAATGGAAATAAAAACAAAAATAAACAAATGGGACCTAATGAAACTTCAAAGCTTTTGCACAGCAAAGGAAACCATAAACAAGACCAAAAGACAACCCTCAGAATGGGAGAAAATATTTGCAAATGAAGCAACTGACAAAGGATTAATCTCCAAAATTTACAAGCAGCTCATGCAGCTCAATATCAAAAAAACAAACAACCCAATCCAAAAATGGGCAGAAGACCTAAATAGATATTTCTCCAAAGAAGATATACAGATTTCCAACAGACACATGAAAGAATGCTCAACATCATTAATCATTAGAGAAATGCAAATCAAAACTACAATGCAATATCATTTCACACTGGTCAGAATGGCCATCATCAAAAAATCTACAAACAAGAAATACTGGAGAGGGTGTGGAGAAAAGGGAACACTCTTACACTGCTGGTGGGAATGTAAATTGATACAGCCACTATGGAGAACAGTATGGAGGTTCCTTAAAAAACTAAAAATAGAACTACCATATGACCCAGCAATCACACTACTGGGCATATACCCTGAGAAAACCATAATTCAAAGAGTCATGTACCACAATGTTCATTGCAGCTCTATTTACAATAGGCAGGACATGGAAGCAACCTAAGTGTCCATCAACAGATGAATGGATAAAGAAGACGTGGCACATATGTACAATGGAATATTACTCAGCCATAAAAAGGAACAAAATTGAGTTATTTGCAGTGAGGTGGATGGACCTAGAGTCTGTCATACAGAGCGAAGTAAGTCAGAAAGAGAAAAACAAATGCCGTATGCTAACATATATATATATGGAATATAAAAAAAAAAAAAAGGTCATGAAGAACCTAGGGGCAAGACAGGAATAAAGACACACACCTACTAGAAAATGGACTTGAGGACACGGGAAGGGGGAAGGGTAAGCTGGGACAAAGTGAGACAGTGGTAGTGTATATATGGACATATATACACTACCAAATGTAAAATAGATAGCTAGTGGGAAGCAGTTGCATAGCACAGGGAGAACAGCTCAGTGCTTTGTGACCAGCTGGAAGGGTGGGATAGGGAGGGAGATGCAAGAGGGAAGAGATATGGGGATACATGTATGTGTAAAACTGATTCACTTCGTTATAAAGCAGAAACTAACACACCATTGTAAAGCAATTACACTCCAATAAAAAAGTTTAAAAAAATAAAAATAAAAGTGAAAATGAATTAGGGCTACATATAGTGTAATTGCTTATAGTGTAGTATAGTGTATACATATAGTGTATACATATACTGTTATATGTGTATATAGTATAGTGTACACATATAGTGTTATATGTATAATATACACATATAAATATATAATATTCAAATTGTATAATATTTAAATCTTATAAAATATATAATGTTCAAATCATGTAAAATATATAATATTCAAATCATATAAAACATATATAATGTTTAGGGACTTCCCTGTTGGTGCAGTGTTTAAGAATCCGCCTGCCAATGCAGGGGACACGGGTTCGATCCCTGGTCCGGGAAGACCCCACATGATGCGGAGCAACTAAGCCTGTGCGCCACAACTACTGAGCCTGTGCTCTAGAGCCCGGGAGCCACAACTACTGTGCCCGTGTACCACAACTACTGAAGCCCATGTGCCTAGAGCCCGTGCTCCGCAACAAGAAAAGCCACTGCAATGAGAAGCCCGCACACAGCAATGAAGACCCAACGCAGCCAGAAGTAAAATAAATTAATTAAAAAAACCAAACATATATAATGTTTATATCATGTAAAAGTATCATGCTAGGTAAAAAAAAAAACTGTCTCCATGTTTTAATGAAGTTGAAAATATCTAAAAATAGCACATGTTGTTTATGGATACATTAATTTACAGAAAAAGCATAAAAACAGGCAATGAATAAGGAACATCAAATTCAGAGTAGGGGGAAGATATACAGAGTAATGAAATGTTGGAGGGCATACAGGGGTTATCAACTTTTTCTATAATGATTTGTTCCTTATTCTCTGTTTTCTATGCTTGAAATATTTCATAATAGGAAAGAATTGTCCCCATTTGCAACACTGTGAATATAAAAATGGCCCTTCATATTCTGCCTCTCTACACCCGTCTCCCATGGGCTTATGGATGTCATTTAGTACCAGGCTGGACTTGTTTTTACCATTTATTTCCTTGTCCTTAGAAAGACTGAGGGCACTTGGTCCACTTTCCTCTTTCTTTCACTGTTCACAACTTGGTTAATTCCACTCCCGTCTATCTTTATTGTACTTACACTTAAAATATTATAAGACAAAGTAATTTCTGGGCAAAACGATTCCCAGATGAAAGAATT